ATTCTCAACTATAAAAAGGAACATTAAAAGGCCCCACTTCATATAAGTTGACAAGAATAAAATAAAAACACAATTTTCTAATTCTTGTAATGTGTTTATTTTATAATCAAAAGGAATGCTTTAAGAAAATGGCAGTAACTTGCAGCATATACAATTATATTCAATTTTATAGAAATGTAAAGACTTCTAACTATGCGTGTGATCACTCAACTGTATCCAAAATAAAAGTCTATTATTTCAGCCTGGAAAACAATATGCTAAATAAACAATTTTTTAAATTTTTTACTAACTAGACTTGCAACTGATGTTCAATTTCTTAAGCATATACCAAACTGACTCTTTAAGGCAAGAGCCACACAAACCAAGAGGAAGTAATTAATAGTATTATATCTATTCACCACTATCATTTCCTGAGTACCTACTATGTATCTAACCCTCAAAATAACTGGTGACTCACTTAATACTCATATCAATTCCTTTCTTCCCTTAAGAGAGAATCATAAAATAACTACAGAAAACTTCTAGAAAGGAGAATGACAACAACTGAAGCAAAAAACCTAATGCCTAATTTAAAAAGGAGGCACATGGGGCACCTGTGTGGCTCAGCCAGTTAAGTCTCCAACTTCAGTTGAGGTCATGATCTCACGGTTCATGAGTTCAAGCCCCGTGTTGGGCTTGGTGCTGACAGCTCAGAGCCTGGAGCTGCTTCGGCTCTGTGTCTCCCTCTCTCTCTGACCCTCCCCCACTTGTTCTCCCTCTCTCTCTCCTCTCTCTCTCTCTCAAAAATAAACATTTAAAAAAAAAAAAGAGGAGACATGGAACCAATAAAAAGGAAAAAAATAGAAGATATATCAGAAAAAATTAACCTGAACGCAGAATTTTCTTTCTAAATGGGATATCATATGTATCATACATATCATATGGGAGCAACAGATCTCAAAAGTGCTTCAAACTACTTTCTTCACTAGTGTCTATATTTATATGGAAAGAATTAAAACAACCTCTTCTTTTTTTCAACAAAAAATAAAGGGTGGGGGGAAAGAGTGAGAATAAAGGGGACTCAACATCTAGAGAACGGACATTCCAGAGAGAAAAAGAGAAAACACGGGAAGAAATAATCAAAGAAATAAGTCAGAGAAATTTCCTAAAAGTGAGTATTCAAACTGAAGGGTCAACACTGTGGCTATAACAAAAAGCTACTCTAAGACATAACATGGTCAAGCTTCAGAACACTATGGGGAAATAAAAAAGAATCTGAGTTTCCAGAGGGAAGAACGTCAAAAAAAAAATAGAGAAAAAAGTACATAAGAATTCTCAAGGGCAGCACCAGAAGCTCGACAGCAATGGAGCAATATCTTCAAAATTCTGAAAGGAAAATTACTTCCAGCCGACAACTGTACCCAGCCACATTATCAATGAAGCATGAAGATAGAATAAAAGTCATTTTAGACAGGCAAGGCCTCAAAAAAAAATATACACTTCCCATGTACTCTTCCTCAGAGGATTACAGAGATTCACCAAAACAGTGAAATAAGCCAAAAAAGAAAAAACCATAGGATCCAGGTGACACCACCAAAAAAAAAAAGAAAAGAAAAGAAAAAGTGAAAGCAATCCTCAGCATGATGATGAAGTGAAATTCTTAACTGAAGCTGCAAACCCAAATCAGAGCAGGTCAGAGTCCTGAGAAAGACTTCAAGAAGACAATACCTACAGAATATGACGTACTATTGGGGCGCCTGGGTGGCTTAGTCGGTTGAGCATCCGACTTTCGCTTAGGTCATGATTTCGCGGTTTGTGGGTTCAAGCCCTGCGTCGGGCTCTGTGCTGACTGCCAGCTCAGAGCCTGGAGCCTATTTCAGAGTCTGTATCTCCCTCTCTCTCTGACCCTCCCCTGCTCACGCTGTCTCTCTCTCTCTCCTAGAAATTTAAAAAAAAAAAATTAAAAAAAAAAAGAATATGACGTACTACAGGGGGGTCTACGCTAATGGGGAGGAGTTTAGGGTTAAGGCAAACAAACAAAAAAAATTCAGTACAAGAATACACACAAGTGAGAAGTTACCAGACAGCTAGCTAGAGCCTACAAAGCCCCTCCACGATTTAGCAATCACCTTGTTGCTCTCATATCGGTATATTAGTCGACTCAGTCAGCTTCAACCAAACTGGCCTCCTTGCTGTTTCTAGAAAATGGCCAGTACACTCCCAACTCATTTTGCTTTGGCTATTCCTTCTGCATAGAACATTCTTCCCTCAGACAGTCAAATAACTAAATACTCTCACCCCTCGCAGGTCTTCACGCAAAAGTCGCTTTCTCAGTGAGGGTAGGGGGTCAACCCCAGTTAAAATTACAACCCGCACCCTACCCCCCACCCCGCTGCTGCCTCTTTCCTCCATCCACTGCCCATTCTTTTTCCCATGGCACGTATCAGTTCCTCAAACACATTATGTCCATCGCTTGTTGTCTGTCTCTCCCTCTGGAAGTAAGTTCCATAAGGAACATACCAAGGTATATAATAGCACGTGGCACAGAGCAGGAAATGAATAAATGTCTACTGAATGAATGAGTGAATAAATGACGATTTAAGGACAGAAAGGCAATTGCACAATACTACAGAAGGTTCTGGTCTCATCTGTGGACAGCATCTAACCATAATATTCATCCTTCAAACATCACAATTTAATAGGAGGATAAGAGAATGCCAGGTCTGCGATGGACAGACCAAAGAAAACTATATACTCATCTTCCATAAAGGGACATTCATAGATAAGGTGTAAAGCTGAGAAATCAAGAAGTAACAACATAAGCATGTTATTTTTATGTATGACAACAGCCAAAGATATCAAATAAAACATCTAAATAAAAGAACTCGAAGTAGTTATCTTTGGAAATAAACTGGATGAAAAGATCAGTTTTTTAAAATTGTTTAACAGCTGAAACTACACGCAGCTATAACTCAGAAAAGGTGAATTTTTAAAAATCCATTATGTTCGAAGAAGATACTCAATAGGCACATAATCCAAAATTAATATCTAGATCACACTAAGGATGTCAACATGAAATATGCAATGAAAATTAAGAAATTATATAGGAAAGCATTTCATAGATGACAAAAAATGAATGGCCAATAACCTGAAAGGGGGACCAACCTCATCAGGGAAATGAAAACTAAAACCACAGTGAAAGGGGCACCTGGGTGGCTGAGTCAGTTAAGTGTCCCAACTCTTGATCTAAGCTCATGTCATAATCTCATAGTTCATGGGATTGAGCTGTGTGTTGGGCTCTGCGCTGACAACATGGAGCTTGCTTGGGATTCTCTCTCTCTCCCCCGACCCTCTCCCTACCCCTTCCCTGCTCACATGCTTGCAAACTCTCTCTCAAAATAAATAAATAAACTTAAAAAAAAAAAAAAAACTCACAATGAGACATTATTTTATACCAGCTCAGCAAATATTTAGAAGTCTGGAATCGAGAGTGCTATAAAACAATCTGAAACTATAGAAACTTTCATACACACCATCATATGCTTGCAGAACCATTCTGCAAAACGTCTACATTACCAGTAAGGTTGAGGATGCACTTCCTCAACAACTCAGCAATTCCACATCTATTTGTATATCTTACAGAGATCCTCGCACCTCTGTGTCGGGGGAATGTACAATCATTCTGACCAAATTTTCATCTATAGGAGAATGAATAATTATGCTGCAATATATTCAAAACAGGAAATATTCTTTTTGTTGTTGATGTTTATTTTATTTTGAGAGAGCAAGCCCGTAAGCAGGGGGAGGGCCAGAGAGAGAGAATCCCAAGCAGGCTCCATGCTGACCCTGTGGGGCCCAACGCAGGGCTTGATCCAAAAAAAAACATGAGATCATGACCTGAGCCCAAAGTGAGAGCTGGATGCTTACCCGAATGAGCCACCCAGGAGCCCCCCCATAACATGAAATATCCTACCAGAAATTAAAACTGAATCTCAAAGCAAGACTTGTGTGTCTTCCTTATGATTCCATTTATATAAAATCAAACAACAAAACTGAATATAAATAAGTGGCAAAACTATAAAGAAAGCAAAAGAATGATCGACACAAGATTCAGGACAGTGGTTATCTCTAGTGGGGAGGGGATCAGGGAAGAGCACAAAGGGGACTCTGATGGGTGTGAGTTCCTCTGCAGTATAAAATTTCAAAACACAAAAGGTCAGACCTAGGACTGAATAAAATACAAAAAATGCATACCTTTTTCATCCAAAAGACTTAAGTACACAGAGGATCAGAGAGTTTAAGGACTTGCAAATAGATACAGACTGTGTCAAAATTCAGAATTCAAGCTAGATTTGCCTGATTTACAACTTGATATTCTTCCCATGTAGAATACCAAAAAGTTTGCTTGGCTAACTTAAAAAAAAAAAAAAAAAAAGATGTAATTTTCATTCTCAAATAACAAAATTAAAAGAGAGAAATCACTGGAAGTAGAAAACGTCCAATTTTCAAGTAATCCTCAATGTAGGTGGCCAATACATGGAGAAGTGTCATGTAAGAAGAAGGGGCGAGAGCTGTAGGAACGAGCCATGCAACAATCACAGCAGCTCAAGCCTGCAGAGGAGGAGAGGAGGAAGGAAGGAATGTCTACTGAGGCCTCATACTCGAGGCCACTTCACATCCACTGTTTGAGGAGTTCTCTCAACATGCTGGAGAGCTCAAAGTTAGGTATTTTCTCATTTCGCAGATGAGAAAAACAAGCCTAAGAAAGTGAAGAGGGAAGGAAGACTTCCTCAGTGAATATTCCCCTTGCCCCATCTGGCTCGGAGCTGTTCTCCAGATGAACAGAAATGCTCACAAGAGGAACACATACATATTACAGACACTTAAGAGAACTATGCCTGAGAGGAAGAAACGAAAAAGCCAAAATGATCACCATGAACAGTGTCACCTCTCTGAAATGGCGCCAAGACCTCTACATCTACCTGATACTCCACCAAGTAAGAGAAGAAATGGCTGCTTACCTGTGACCAGGATGGTACATAGCTGTGTTGATTCCATGAGGGTAATGACTGCTGAAGCTGAAACAATGGCTCTCTTGGTAGCTCTGATTTGTTCCAACACTAAATTTAAGAAGGTAAATCAGAAATAAATACCAGTAAGGCATAGGGAGAGACCAAAAACTACCCACTGAAATGTCTACACTTAAAACACAGACACCACCAAATATAGCTGAGGATGTAAAACAACCAGAATGCAGATATTACTGGTGGGAATATGAAGGATATAAAAACTATGGAAAAAGATCTAGAAATTTCCTATAAAAATAAACTATATCTACCCTATGACTCAGCAGTTCTGCTCAAAGACAGTGACCAAAGAGAAATGACAACGTAGATCCACAAACACTTATGTGAGTGGTCACAACAGCTTTATTCACAGTAGCCCCATACGGGAAATCAGAATTCCATCAAAAGAAGAGAGAATACACAAATAACATTGTTATGGTCTGAATGTTGGTGGGCCCCTCCCACCCACGGACTGAATGAATGGCTGCACCTCCCAGAATGTTCATATGTTGAACTCTAATGCCAATATGATGGCATTTGGAGATGGGATGTTTGCGAATTAATTAGGTCATGAGGATGATGCCCTCACAAAGGAATTACCGCCCTTCTAAGAGGTCAAGAGGGTCAGCTACCTCTACTTCCACCACCTGATAATAGCAGTCCGTAAGCCAAAGGACCAGAGCCCAGCCGTGCTGGTACCTAGAATTCCACCCTCAGGAAATGTCAGCAGGCAATTTCTGTTGTTGATAAGTCACCCAGTTTATGGTACTTTGTTGTAACAAATCAAACTACGACACATGAAATATTCATGCAGTGAAATACATTAGTATTATAATAAAATGGAATAAACTACTAATACATGAAAAAACACAAATAAATCTCAAAATATGCTAAATGAAGGAAGTCTTAGATGGAGGATGAATACTATGACACCATTAATGTGAATTACCAGAACATGAAAACCTTATCTATGAGAAAAAAAACAAAAATAAACAAAACAAAAAAACCCGAGCAGTTGCTCTAAGGATGGGTGTAGACAGATTCACTGGGAAAGAAAATGAGGGAACTTTCTAGCATGATGGTAATGTTCTGCATCTTACCAGGGGTTTGAATTGGATAAGTGAATTTGTCTGTCATAACCCACTGGCTGGTACACTTAAGATCTGTGTATTTCATTGCATACAAATTTTACTTCAAAAGAGAAAACTATAAGCAAATATTGAACTTTAATTAATGACACGATGTGGGGATATTTAAGTACCAACTCTGAAATTCATTAAAAAAGAACAATGATTAAATGGCTAAATACAGGGATGGACAGAAATGCAATACAGCAAATATAATAATATGCTAATTCAAGAATTTAAGTGAAGGTATATGAATATTCACTATACAGTTGTTTCAACCTTCCTATTATATTTGCAATTTTTCACAGTAAAATACTGAAAGAAAAAAATCTGATACTGCGGCAGAGAAATAAACATTACTTCAAACTGGAGTTCCCAAATAGTGTATTTTTACCTTACAAGGTAACTTTTAAGTTCTCCTCGGTAATTGATGACCAGCAGTTCTGCAGACCACTGCGCGCTGGCTTTATATTCTAAAAATATCAACCCAGCAATGGCATAGCTCAAATCACCTGCCAAACCAGATGCCTGTAGAAGGGGGGACATTGTTACTAAAAAGATACCAGATAGAACTTAACACGTGCGCAGTTGGAAGATGTCCCAGACATTGGCCCTGCCAGGTGCACATTAAGACAGCCCCCGAACTGATCTGTATACTAAAGAATTATGCAAATCAGAGTGCCTAGAACCAGACACCCAACTCTAGCCCTCAACCAAAGGCTAGAAGTATACAATTCTCTTTGGATGAGAAATAGAGAATTTCTGTTCACGCTGTACTTCTGTTGGAGGTGGGGAGGCAATGCCAGCATTCAACTTCAAAGAACTCCAAGATACAGAATTCAGAAGTCACCTTCCAAATGTTGATTTGCATTGCCTGCAGGAACCAACGCTTAAGGAAAAAAGCCTCAGTTGCTTCCCATTTGCTCCATCAACAAGTAAAAGACACTTAAAACACTCAATGGCAGGTTCAATGGCAACCTTTTTCCATTAACTAAATATCAGGCTATATTGCTAAGGATTTGAAGGCATGTGCACCTTAGGAAGCACACATAATAAAGTTTATCACCCGGAATGACTCCTCAGTGTCTAGAGCCACAAAGACTGTGACCACATGTGGCTACTGAATACTGGACATGTGGCTAGTCCTAATTTAGACACACTATAAATACAAAAATAAACATGAAATTTTAAAGCCTTGGTATGGAAAGTCAAGTCATTAATGTTCTTTACATTGATTACATGCTGAAATAGCATTTATGATATACAGGATTAAATGTTAAATAAATTTCACCTGTTTTCTTTAACTCTTAATGCAGCTACTAGAAGATTTAAAATTACACGTGTGTTCATATATATAGTGCACATTAGTTTTCTATCAGATAGTGCTGGTCCAGAAAACAGTGATCCAAACTTTCCAGTTTGGTTCCCCAGGACTTCCATCATAGGAGCCTAATATATTTTTTCAAGTTTTTCCATTCATTATTTCTAAACAAAAACCATTCTCTATATCATAAGTTCTTATCCTTAGCTTCTCATTAGAATCAGCTGAAAAACCTATAAACAGAGGCACCTGGGTGGCTCAGCCAGTTAAGCGTCCAACTTCAGCTCAGGTCATGATCTCACGGTTAATGGATTCCAGTGTCAAGCTCTGTGCTGACAGTTCAGAGCCAGGAGCCTGCTTCGGATTCTGTGTCTCCCTCACCCTCTCACCCTCTCCCTACCCCCACTCACATTCTGTCTCGGTCTCTGTCTCTCTCTCTCTCTCAAAAATAAATAAACATTTAAAAACTTAAAAAAAAACACACACTTATAAACAATATTAATTCCCAGAACCCACTCCTATCAAATTAAATCAGAATTTCGGTGGGTTGAGCCTAGAAAATTGAGTTAATTGTTTGTTTCTCTTTTCTTTATAAAGCTTCCCAGGCAATTCTGAGATGCAGCTGTTGTGCTGTCTCCGTATCCTGGTCATCCAAGGAAGGACACAAAGTGAAAAGCACTGGGTCCCTAAAACAAGCACTTAGGAGCTGGGTTGCCATGGCAACAGTCTGGAACCCACCCCAACCTCAATTTCAGCTTTCCAAACTGTAAAGTGCAGACAATATCTGGCCAATCTCCTTGAAGGGTTCTTGTGAATATTAAATAAGAATATATAATGTGGAAACTAATTTGACAATAAACTATTTGTAAAAAAAAAAAAAAGAATATATATCAAACCCATTAATAAAGTATACAGCACTACATAAATACAAGTTATTACTACCATAATTTCTTCACTCTCCCTTTCAATTTCTACTCCGTTAGGATAACAAACCCCAGCTCCTCTGAAAGCTGTTTCCTACTGGAGCAGCCCACTGACTGCTCTCCACTGGAACTGCACAACAGCTTTCCATACCTCTGTTTAGTATTTACTTCCCACCATGGCTTTTTTTTTTTGGCGGGGGGGGGGGTTGTTGTTCTTGTTTTAGTTTTTGGTTTTTTGGGTTTTTTTTTTTTTTTTTGAGAGGAGATAACATGAACAGGAGAGGGGCAGAGAGGGAGGGAGACAGAGAATCCCAAGCAGGTTTCGCACTGTCAGTAGAGAGCCCAATGCGAGGCTTGAACCCACATACCATGAGATCATGACCTGAGCCAAAATCAAGAGTCGGACATTCAACCGAACGAGCCCCCCAGGCGCCCTACTTCCCATCGTGTTTTGATACTGGTGGATGACCTCTGAACACTGTACTACAAAACACAAAGAAGAAGTACTTCATGTACAGATATCTACCTACTAGATTATGAACATCTTAAGTTCACAACTTACATTTATATTTCTATTTCCCCTCTTTCACACTCATTCACTCAAGCACCTTCACATATTTTTTTTGCCTTTCATGTAATCAGCTTCCTGTTACATACATACCGGGGCAATAACAAAGAGTTCGCTTCCCATGAGATCAAATACCCTCACGGTTCCTGTACTTTCAGCGTAGGCCAGCAAGGTACAATCGTAACTCCATGCTACCCGTCTCCACTGGGGCTTGGGGTCTTTGGGAACTACAATGAAAGGAAAAGAAGTGCTTTTAACAATGTGTTATACAGATAGTTTAGTTGCAGTAACTATTAATGCAAACTACTCAATTCTATTACATCCTCTTCCAAGGATTTCTAATCCTTCAGTTCAATAGAAAAGAACAGTTCCCAGAAAGCTGCTTGAAGGAAGAGTGGGAAATATGAACCAGAGCTGGCTCTGCCGCACTTACGTATGAAGGACAGACTACGGCCCCAGGGTTCAAGTGAAGGCTGACCCTGCCCGGTCTGGCAAAGGCCCGGGAACAGCACACCTTGGAACACTTTTATAAAGTTAAGATGGATCAAAAAAACATAGAGAATGGGCAGAAAATAATTCCGATCCAGTGAGTTCAACATCTCTATCAGCAAAAAATAAAAATCTCGGGGCGCCTGGGTGGCTTAGTTGGTTAAGCATCTGACTTTCGCTTAGGTCATGATCTCGCGGTTCGTGGGTTCGAGCCCCGCGTTGGGCCCTGTGCTGACTGCCAGCTCAGAGCCTGGAGCCTGTTTCAGTCTGTGACTCCCTCTCTCTCTGACCCTCCCCTGCTCACGCTGTCTCTCTCTCTCTCTCTCCTAGAAATAAATAAAACATTTAAAAAAAATAAATAAAAATCTCAACTGAATGAAATCTTCTAAGCGTATCAAATACAGATACCGAAGAAATACAATGCAGCATTATGCGGACACAGTACTAAAGAAATGCTTATGTACACGTGTAGTATACATACACAGACATTAGGTAAATCAAGTACTATCCTGGATCTGTCACGCAATCATAATATTTAATAACCAATCTTAATCTAACACCGGTATTTTTTCTGTTCTGAATTTTTCGGTACAACAATGAAGAGTAAGGCTGTTGGCTACAAAAAAAAAAAAAAAAAAGGGACAGTGAAACTCTCAACTCTGTTGGATTTGTTTGAGGCTTTTGATGTTTTGTTGGCTTCCGTTGTCCCTCATTCAAATGCCAGCTCTGCAGAGACAGGGCCACTGCCTCCCCTTTACAGCAGGGATTCCAGATGATTGGGGGACTGACAAGGTGACATCGTGAGTCAAGAGCAAAGAAACCTATGTGTCAGGCCTTCCCACACAGTGAACACTTCACCACCACACACTCACTGCCTCTCAGAGTTGGGACAGCCCCTCAGGACAGCCGCAGAAAGGCTTCGGAGATTCATCGGCTTCTTTCTACTCCCCTAATAAAATCTCCCAGTTCAGGCTTCACAGTCTGTTGCAGAGACTCTCACAACAGCCCCAGCTGGTCTCCTCCCTTCCATTTTTCTCCCCGATCCTTCCTCAACACTCTCCAAAGAGATCTTTCTCAGAAGGGGTACAGACCCCATCCTGCAGCAGCACGGTTCTCCATTTCCAAGAGAATCAATCAAGTCCAAGCTCCTCCACATGCATGAACGGCCCCTTACAAATGGCCCCATCACAGCCCCCCATGTCCCCTCCTACCACGTCCTCCACCACACATCTAACAAGCCACCAACGACACAACAACTGGCAAAGAAGCAAACCATGCATCCTCGAGTCTCAGTCTTTCATACACATTCTGCCTCCACCTGGAACATTTTTTCTTAGTATTCGTCAAAGGGTTCTCTTTTGTCACAACCACCTGTGGGAACAAGTGGTTACCTCCTCCTTCCTTGACACTCTTCCAAACTGACTGCTCTCCTCTCTGGGCCCCAAATATGCTGTACAAAACTCTTCCGTAGCATTGATCGCATCCTATTATGCTGTTTCCATGACTATTGCCCACACCAGTGTCTCAGCTCCATGAAATCACAGACAATGTCCTACTCAACATGGCCATCCTGGGACCTGAAACAGAAAGGAGTTTCACTTTCTAATCTTCACTAGTAAGTGAAGACTACATCTTTCAGAAAAGTGTGCATTAATAGGACAAGGTAATGGTAAGAGTTCAGCATCCCTCAAGGACTACCAATTAAATGTGAATCACATAACTGAAGTCTTCTTTCCACCTACAAGAAGTAACACAGAATTGACTTCCCTCTTATCTCTGTAATACCCATAATATATGTTCTTTATATAAGGGAAGTGTACCAGACATCAATGAGTTTCTCTGTTTATCAATAGGTAAAAAGCTTACCCCCCCAAAAAAAATTCCAAGGGGTCTTTGAATACAAGAGAGTCTAATGAATTTATTAAAGACTAACAAAATACTACCTACACTCCAGAAGACAACTTTTTTAATAGGAATAAAATGAAGAAAAAGATCAGTTCTCTGTCTTTATAAGGTTAAAAAAAAAAAAATCCAAACTTGGAAGTAAACACAGGCACAAAATGATAAACAACACAAGAGTGCAAGACCCACATACACACAGACGCCATGTAAACATCAGTAAGAGAACACTTTAATGCCCTGGAAAATATTCATGTGCTCAAGAAACACAGTGGTATTTTTCCATTATTACTGTTTTACCTGTGGTAGATTTTTTCTCTCTTATTTCATTTTGATAGGTAGGATAAATAGATTTATTCACCACATTCTGTTTCCATCTAAAACAGGTCCCATCTGAAGGGGATTTGTTTTTACTATTACTTCTAATTATAACCAGTAGCTCCAGAAACTCCACATGTGTTCTGACCCAGACAAAGATGTTTTCATCACAAAATAAGATTTCACACAACGATGTAAAAATAAAGACTTTATCACCAGTTTTTTCCAGCTGACTGTGTGGTTTTGGAGAGGAACAAACAGTCCAGATTTTTACAAAGCAAGTGTCAATGGGTCTGTCTGAAGAGTATTCAGAAAGGCTGCCAGTCAAGTTAACCAGCAATCTGACAACTGCCACGTTCATGGTCAGACTGTTCATTCTTGCTCCTATCTTGGGCCAGCTGCAGCCCCTTCAGCCTGCCTGGGTGCCAAGTTCTTTCCCACCTTGTGCTTTTTGTCTGTGCTGTTTTCTCAGCCTGGAACCTTCTCCCTGAGCCCTCTCCTGGCTCCTTTTCATCTCAGATCTCAGTTTATGCACCACTTCCCCTCGATGCTTTCTCTGACCACCCTGGCTGAAGCAACCCAAGGCCCCATTATTCTTCACTGCCCACTGGTTTCATTCCCTCCACAACTCTGATCCCAAACAATTATGTACATGTTTACACTTTATCATCTGCCTATTGGCTTAAACTATAAATTCCAAAATGCCTGGCCCTAGGTCCATTTTGTTCCTAACTGCATCCCCAGGGCCTAACACACTGGTGGTAGTAATCGGCACTCAAGTGCTCTCAGAGTACATCTGACCCAGTGCTCAGCCACCCAGATTAGAAACCAACAGGGGACAAGATTACGACGAACACGGGGTTCTCTTTTCAGTGCTGCCATAAAACAAAGGGGTGTGTCCTTGAGGAGATCGCCCAGGTGTAGCTTGGTCATTTGCAAAATGAAGGGTTGAATGAACCATCTCTCCCAGACTCTTTGACTTCTAAATCGAGAACCAGTGAGCAAAAGCAAACTAGTGGGGGCAATGAAGACTTGCAGGGAAGCTAAATATTTGAATATTAGAAATAAGTGCTGGCAAAGACACAAGAAAAATCTTACGATCCTAGAATGAGAAATGTCTAACCATCACAAGAAACTCTGAAATTATACAGAAAAAAATGGCAAATGTAGTTACGAAAAACAAAACAAACAAAAAAAAAACCACAGACCAAAACCAAAACCAAAAACCCACCACTACCATAACAAATTTAAAAGGAAATCGACTGGGTGAAAATATTTGCAACATATGTGACAAAGGATTAACATTCATACTATCAGACCAGTAAGAACAAGTCAAGCAGGCTGAGAATACAGGCAAAAGGGTCTGACCTAACAATTTACATAAATAAATAAATGAATAAATAAATAAAGCCACTTAACATATGCTCTACCTAATAAGTAAAAAATTCAAATTTAAAATGAGATACTTCTCTTCCTTTGCCAGTGAACCTAACGAATACTTTTCAAATAGGTAAACATACGGTGCTGGCAGTGGGGCAAAGAAACTGCTTCCATCATACCTTTTTCATAGTTGTATACATAGGTGAAACTTTCTGGAAAGAATTACAGCAGTAGCTATTTGAATACTACACCCAGGGACGAACAATGTCTTTCCAGTGCCGGTGGAGAGGGATGGGGGCAAAGATGGGTAAGAAAAAGAGAAAGGAAACAAGCCACTGTAAACAACCTAAATTTCTATCAAGAGAAGAACAGATGAATAAAATGTGGTTCACATTCTTACAATGGAAGGCTGAGGCTGCACTGGAAAGACTGAAGTGCACCTGTACGCACTGACGAGGAAAGACATGGGTACAGTCAGAGGGAGAGCATGCTGGGGAACAGTCTACAAGAGGAGCTCGATTTGTTAAAGAAAAAGTCGATCGATGCATGTACACACAGGCTGATAGAAGCAAAGAAGGTTTTATATTAAATCATTAATAGAAGTTCCTATGAGAAATGCAAGTAGAAAAGAAACTTTTTTAGGTTCTCTACTTCTGTACTGTTTGAATGTTACACATATGTACTGCTTTTGTAATTAAGACAAACAAACAGGGTAACTAGTATCAGACTAGATCTCCTACCGTAAAAGAAAAAAATATGTCAAAGAAGCACTTTCAGAGGTCATCCTACAAGCAGTGCAAGACCGTGATCATGGGGAGAAGCTACTTTCGGCCCGTCGGCACCTTCCCGTGGTACAGGAAGAGGGACCTCCAGCTGCACACGCAAGTCCCCAGGAACTGAGCAGATAAAGGAGTCTGGGGCCACTGAGCTGAATACAGTCTGCGAGGCAGCATTCCAGAGGGAGGTGAGTGAGGCAGAGAAGGAGATTCAAAAATCTGCAGAGATGAACCCTGAGTCTTTGGTCACACACACACACACAGATTCCACAGAGCCAAGGAGAAGACTGTTGGGGAAAGGTACTTCCAGAGCTGGGAGAGGATTTGGAAATGTTTGAGCTCCACCTTGTCAGAGTGGAGAGAAG